TTTTAACATATCCTAGTCAATAGAAAATCTTCCACAAGTGCACATGCCTAGTAAGCGGCACCAGTAGCCTTGGGTCTGATTTTGACTCACGGCAACCCCATGTGTGTCAGAGCAGAAGTGTGCTCCATAGGGTTTTCAATGGCTGATTTTTTGGAAGTAGATCTCCAGGTCTTTCTTTCTAGGCACCTCTGGGTGGACTTGTACCTCCAACCTTTTGGTAAGCAGCCAAGGAGGGTTAACTGCTTATATCACCCAGGGACTCCACAGGACCCCCGTAGAATCGTATAATCCCAGGAGGATCTACTAGATCATATCCAGGACTTTACTGAAAGGACACCCAGTGATCTCTTTAACTTATTTCAAAAAATTTTTTGATAAAATGGTGCTTTTTCGAACATAATTTTAGTTTAATAAACTTACAATGCATGTGTACTGTTCCAGGACGCTTTTGTTTGGGAGTGATTTTTTTGTTTGCTTTGGTTTTTGAGAGAAATAAATCTTTTTATCTATAAAGCAGAGATTATCTTATATGGTAAAACAGCATGGCTTATCCAAAAAAAAACAAAACAAAAACAAAAACCAAACCTGTTGCTGTGGAGTCAATTCTAACTCATAGCAGCCCTATAGTTATACATATTTAATGTTAGCATCTATTCAACGCCTCCTGCTGCATGAAGATTCTTTATTTAAATTACAATAAATTCTTCTACCCCTGTGCCCTTCATAATCCTAAACGTACCCTGAGGAGAGAGTCCTGTATTCTGATCTCTTATGTTTTTGACCGCAGAAGAGTACATTTCTATAAAAAAGGCTTAATCTGCTAAAAATCTTTGGTCTGTTTAATGGTCTGTTGAATGTAAATGGAAAAGCACCTATTTGCCATTATTTCTAGGGTGCGCTTTTCTAAACACTAAGAAATTTTAGAACCAATGCTTTGAGGCTTAATCTTATACTGAGGCAATTAATAGAGTTACTGGAATCTTTCTGTAGGAAATCTGGAGGCATATAGAAACTCTAGTACTAGATTGGTTTTTAAGTCAGTAAACAAAGTGTGAAGGTTTTTCTCTATTTTCTGACAACCAGAGTTTTCTCCCAATGTAGTCTGGTGAAGACAGTAAGACCCACGCCTCTTCTGAGCTGAGAGGATTTGGGCTTTTGTCAGTGGACATTTTACGTGTATCTGAAAAGGCTCCTGAGTTTTGTTTTGTTTTCTAGTTTTGAGTTTCATTGATGGTACCTTGCAGCCTCTCATAGCTTTTCTGTGAAAGAGAGAATTTAGAATTTTGATCTTCTTTCATAAGCCCCTGCTTTCCACAGATACCATGACTATATTCTGGCCAAGATGGCATATGCCAGATTTTTCTCTTAGATATTTTAAAACATCTTTATGTTAAAATTAAGTAGGAGGGGAAAAACACCAATCTGAGGATAATTTATGGTCGCTAATTTTAAATTATAATTAATTGGGAACCATAGTAGTTTAAAATAAACTAAACGGAGATGGGACTTCTTTCTTGATGTTTTAACTGAGGACACTGCAGTGTTGATCTAGCCCCAAAAGCAGTAGCCTTGATTTTTCTGAGGGCTAGGTGGTAAGGGATAACGGACAGGAAAAAAATACGGACAGGTCAGTTTATCATCCTTATCTGAAATAGAAAGCATTTCTGAGCTTAAGCGTGGAGCCATGGCATCTCTGGGCGACAGAAGGAAGACATGGAGGAGGGTATGAAAGTAAATCCACGTGTGCCTTCAGTTCACATCCTGTACTCCACCTCCACTCTCCTTAGGATCTTACAGACCATGCCAAATTGTCGAGTAAGGCTGACCAGACTCAAAAATTTACAACAAGTGTTTGCCGTTTATTGGAAGTTTTGCAGGAAGGACAGAAGAGAATGTCCACCAGGCAGGAGCTTACCCCCCATTGCTTGACACATCTAAATTACAGACTTTTCTTTTCTAACTTAATGTACCTGAAACTCCCTCTAAGATTTGTGTTGATAAGCAGTGGAGAAAATGAAACTTGAGAAGGAAAAGTGAGGGAAAGCGATGCTATGCTGGGGAGAGGGTGGACCTTATCGCAAAATAGCAGACTTCAAAGACATGACTTGAAAGGAGTACTAATAACAATCAAAATATACATTTGAAAAGAAAGGGACTCATATTACATGTTGAGAAGAGCAAAGGGGAATATGACACTGAAGACCCTTCTTGTTGTTGTTACCTGCCGTTGACTCTGCCCCTGACTCATGGTGATCTCATGCATAATGGAACGAAATGCTGCCTGGTCCTCAGTCATCCCCATGATCAGCTGTGGATCAGACTGTGGTGATCCATGGGATTTTCAGTGTTTGATTATCAGAAGTAGATCTCCAGGCCTTTCTTCCTAGTCTATCTTAGTTTGGAAGCTGCACAGAAGCTTGTACAGTATCATAGCAACGTGCAAGCCTCCACTGACAGGCGAGCGTGGCTGCGCTTGAGGTACTTTGGCCAGGATTCAAACCTGGCCCCGTGAAAGGCAAGAATTCTACCACTGAACTACCGCTGCCCTTTTAAAAGAATCAAAACATACATTTGAGGGAATAAAACATTAAAGGTTTCTTAATCAGTTGAGATTTTTAACTTTAAGAATAGTGAATGCTCTACTTTTGACTATCCAAGGGCCAATTTAATCATTTAATTAACATCAATTTGAAAGTTGGAACTAAAAGCACATTTTAATGATTTGGATGTGGTGACTTGAGAAGAATCGGGGGAATCAAGAATGACAGCCAAGTTTCTGAATTAAACAACAGGACACATTACTGAGGATGTAAAGACAAGGGGAAGACCAGGTAAACAGATTTGAAAGTCAGTGTTGGACATTTTAGTTTGAGATGGTTGAGGAATCCAAGAGGACATAAAAATATGTAATTCAATATGTGAATCTGGACCTCCAAGATGCAGTCTGTGTTGAATATATAAATACGGAATTTGCCCAAGATCACAGGGCTAATTAAGCAGTGATGGCGAACAGAGGGCAAATCTTTTCGACTCCACGTCCATGTTGCTTTCTCTCAGACATGTGGAAACCAGGGAAATGGGAATCTGTACTTTAACCTGGAATTCCACAACCATTTTCCCTCTCCAAATACTGCTAAGGTAAAAAGTCTAGAAAGATTGTATTCAAACTAGTATGCGGAACCCAGGACCAAAAATTAAAATGTGGTTTTTATTATGTTACGTATGCCATAAAATCGCTGTGTTCCTCCTTGAAACCTGGCTTCTGTCAAGCCCCGAACCCCTGTCTGATAAACTAGTCTGAATGTTGGTGAATCTCAAAAATATAAATATCATGAAATTTTCCCACCAGACCCCTAAACTCCATGCAAATTAAAACCCAATTTTATAAATTCATCATTTAACGCCTTGCCTTTAATATGTGATTTGTGTAACTAATAGTGAATAATCCAGCCAGGTAAAGTGTGTATGGTGAAAAAAAGAGAAAAGAATAGGGAAGATGGCAAAGAAATACCAAGCAATAGATGACAAAGAGGAAACCCCAAAAATGGCTAAGAAAGAGCACCCAAAAACCAGAAGCCAAGGCAAGTAAGAGTTTCAAAGAGTTTCAAATGTTGCGAAATACCAGCTAGAAGCAACAAACCAAAACCCACTGTCATTGTGTGGATTCCGACTCATAGTGACCCCATAGGGTTTCCAAGGCTATAAATCTGCACAGAAGCAGACTGCCACATCTTTCTCCCTCGGAGCTGCTGGTGACTTCGAACCGCCGACCTTTTGGGTAGCAGTCGACCACTTAACCACTGCACCACCAGGGCTTCTTCAAAATGTAAAGAATGGTCAAGTTTTTCAACAAGGAAAACATTGGTGACCAAAACTAGGGCCATTTCAGTGATAAGTACAAAAGTTAGATAAGCACAAAAAGCCAGATTTCTCTTCATCCAGGTGAAACTGGGAACCTGCAACTTAGAGAGGACAAGTGTAAAACACTGGAAGTTTGTGTCCAAAGATGTGGGAGTGGGGACTGAGGATGGAAGAGGAATATACCCAGGTGAAAATTCCATAGCATGTCAAATATCAGCTGTGACTACGTTTGGAGGAGAGAAACAATTTCTCGATTTTCAGAAATGAAAAGACCTTAAGTCCATCAAGTACAATGTCCAGCATCTGTGTGAAATCCCTCTCTACCACCACCACCGCCATCACCCTTGTCTCAAATCCAGTCAATGGTATTCCAGCCTCAAAACTGGAAAAATACCCAGTAACAAGACCGCAGTTCCACTTTCCAACAACTCTGCTGTTTAGAAAAGGTTTTTTGTTTGTTTTATTGTACTATGTATGTGTGTGTACATATATGTACACACACAGACACACGTATATATATACATTTGTGATTTTAACATTTTTTATGTATAATTCAGTGGCATTAATTCTGTTCATCATGTTGTGCAACCCTCACCACTATCCATTTCCAAAATTTTACCCTAGTTTGTTCCACAGATCCCCACCCCCAATACTACCTATCCATCTGTCTGGTCTGGTTCTTTCTGAATACACCACATCACACCAAACAGGCCAGGTTAGTCCTCTGGCTATTAAGGAAGCCCTGTTGTCTCTGTCCTGATCCTTCCATCTTTACTCAGAGGACTCAGTGATCTCCCCTCCAAGTTCACTGAATCATTTAGACTCAATCCAGTTTTCACCTTCCCTCTGAAACCTCCAGAAGGAAACACATCCTCTTTGTGGTGCCAAAGCAGAGCAGAAAAGCAATCTCCACTTTCCCTTGGCACCCTCTACAAGTACTGAGCTTTCCCAGCATCCTGTTCGCTTTCTTGACCAGTGCTCTCTTCTCTGTGTCTCCAGCTCCCAGCCTAACCTTCGCTTTGTCCAACAATGACTGCTCATAGATGAAAGACACACACGTGAGAAGGAATGCATTTTATGGGGAGAAGATTTCAGGACAGGGGAGGAATTATTTGAGGAGGGGATGAAGTTGCTGATCTTCAAATTTCAGAGTAGCTTTAAGTGTTTGTAACTGACAAGTTGGAGGTGGAGTTGCAATTCCCTCTCTCTTTGTAAGAACTGGCTATATTCACAGAAACTTTCAGGCAACAGTTTTCACCATTTCGGCACAGTAAGTATTGAATTTCATATTTTTTGCAGGTGTTTCTGCACATGCCTTGATAAATCTGGCATGGATTCCAAGGCTTTTGGTTCTTGTCATAGATGAATCCAAACAGGCCACCTGGGAAAGACATAACCATGGTTAGTTTCCATGCAGTAGTGATAACAGGAATGGGAAAGCATGATTTAAAGAGGATAAGCTCTAAGAATATTAAAAGCACAGGATGTGGAATCAAAACCATCTGGATTCAAATCTATCATTTACAAAGATCCCTGGATAGCACAAACAGTTTGTGCTCAGCTACTCACCAAACGGTTGGTGGTTTGAATCCACCCAATGGTGTCACGGAAGAAAGGCCTGGTGATTTAATTCTTTAAGATTACAGCTATTGAAAACCCTTTGGAGTATTTCTACTCTGAGACACACAGGATTGCCATGAATCAGAATCGACTCGATGGCAACAGACACACGCACACCCCATTTACATGTTCTCCATCCTTAAGCATATTACTTCCGCTCTCTGGCCTTCCATTGCCTCATCTTCACAATGGGCATACTAACGAAGCCAACTTCTTAAGTTTTTTGTGATGACTAAATGAGCATACACAGTATGTTTAGGGTAGTGTCTGGCCCATAATAAGAAGTAATTAAATATTAGGGGTTGTTGTTGATATGATAGCTGTCTTAGTCATCTAGTGCTGTTATAACAGAAATACCACAAGTGGATGGTTTTAACAAACAGAAATTTATTCTCTCACAGTCTAGTAGACTACAAGTCCAAATACAGGGCATCAGCTCCAGGAGAAGGCTTTCTTTCTCTGTCAGCTCTGGAGGAAGATTCTTGTGATGCGTCAGTGTTCCTTTGGTCTGGGAGCATATCGGCGCAGGAACCTCAGGTCCAAAGGACACACTCTGCTCCCAGCACTGCTTTCTTGGTCATATGGGGTTCCCATGTCTCTCTGCTTGCTTCTCTCTTTTAGATCTCAAAAGAGATTGGCTTAAGACACTATCTAATCTTGTAGATCTCATCAATGTAACTGTCACTAATCCATCTTATTACATCATACTGATAGAATTTACAACACATAGGAAAATCACATCAGATGATAAAATAGTAGACAATCATACAGCACTGGGAATCATGACCTAGCCAAGTTGACAGATACTTTTGGGGGACACAATTCAATCCACAACAACAGTCTTTTCCTGAGGGTCCATGGCTTCAAGAGCTGCCACTGTGAGTACATATTGGGGATGTCTCCAAGTGCCTACAGAGATGTGTCCGCTCACACACAGGTGATAGAGATGCCAGGATCTACTCTGAGACAGGGTACTCATACATCAGCGCCCATGTGCATGGGTGACTTTGTGCAAACACGTTCCACATATGTCTTCCTTTGTACATTGGCCCCACAGAAACAGGCATTGTACATACATGGACCACACACTGGTACACACACAGGCACATATGCACAACTCGCTTTATGCACAGGTCCACATTCACACACAAATTGTGCATATACGCGTCTGCTCGCTGTACAAAGCTCTACCACACACTTTCCACATTTAGCTAAAGCCCATCTGTGAATATTGATAACTTTATCAGACATCCAGATACGTGCATGTGTATACAAGATCTTCGCCTGAAAATACCTCAGTGGCAGAGGTTCTCATGCTTAGCTTCCTATAAATATTAGTCATCAATAGTATTAGTTGCCCATTGGATCTTTCAAAAGACAAAAGACCCATTGGAAAGAAAATAATACTAACAACCACTACCATGTGCCCAGCATAACCTATGTAGCAGGCATTTCATAAATGACGTCGCACAGAAGCCTTATGAAAACCTGCCTGATCGTTGTTCATTAGGTGAAGACACTGAAATTCAAAGACAGGCCTTGTTTTGTCCACATTCTCATGACTTGTACTTGAGCAAACCAGGATTCAGTTTCTGGTCTGCATGACATCAAGCCTATGCTCTTTCCCCTCTGGGTCACACTACCTCTATACAATAGGATTTCTAGGACAGGGTGGCATCTTCCTTCATGAATTCGGCAAGCATGGGGCCTTCAACAGCTTCTAACAGATAGTCCAAATTCCTTAGCTTGGCATGAGGAGAACTTTTCAACAATCCACCCGTTCCCTCATTCCACATCCATTTATTGGCATCCACTCTGTGCCAGACTAAGCATACAGAGTTCTCAAATGGCCACATTAATAAAATTAAAAGAAAGCTTTTATTTCTTGCATGGAACAAAGAAACACTTTGCTAATTTTTTTGACCGGAGAAAGTAAAATTGTCCAAGTTTAGGTGAGGTGGGAGGGCAGGAGAGGAAAGAAAGAGGAAAAGTAAACGCCTCGGTGGCAGACATCCCACAGGGTCTGAGTTCTGGTGTATATATGAACTGCCACAGAATTCCAGAAGAGGCACTGAATTGTTTCTGCAGCAGCCAGCCTGCTGGTTAATCAGAGGAAGGGGACCAAAAATGGCAGCCAGCCAGACTTCTTCCAGGATCCTTGTACCACTGTGTTTCCCATCCCAATCCTCACCCTCATCATGGGACGTGTTCTCTCTCCTGGCACCATCCTGCTTACAGGAGGAGGAGATCAGCAGTGGCCTTCCCCTGAGTGACACTCACACTCTTCTGGCTAACACTTGACCTTGAGGACTTGCCTTCTCCCAAACACCCTGGATGGATGTTCGGGCACCCAAGACCCCTTTCTCTGCAGTTACCAGAGTGAAGGGTAAGACATAGATACCAAGAATGAGGATCAGGCAGGCTATGCTGCCTTTTTTTTCACTTTCCTCACATAGAGAGGAGGTCAAGGCAGCCCCAGGAGAACGCCGCCTATAATGGCTCAAAAAAAGGTTTTATCAAGGACATTTGTAGCTTCTCACTCTTGCTGACTCTATATTGCCCTATTGCCCTGTGTCACCACAAATTCTAACACCCACGTCAAATTAATGTCACCTTCAATAACCCCTCCACCTTCAAACTGAAATCAGAAGAGATCTGCCTTTGAATCTCAGCTTTGCCTCTCACTCTCTATACGATGTTATGTTTAAACTCTCTGTACCTCGTCTTCCTCTCTGAGAAATGTGAATAGGGGGTTTGCACCGAAGCAGACAATCTCAAATGTTTTATAGGGGAGAATGTTAAAATTTGTCAAACTTTGTAATAACCTGGGAAATTTTTAAGTATACTCACACCAAGTCTCCATTCTAGAGATTCTAAGTCAGTGGGTCTAGGGAGAGGCCAGAGCTTTGTAAAAGTTCCTCCCAAAATACTGATGGGTTCATGTTTGAAGTGAGAACCACAGCTCTGCCTGACCTTCTCACATTCACCTATAGACACTGCCCAGCTTATTTCCCCACATTGGAGGTGTTTTAAGAACAAATTAAAGGATAAAAAATGAAGAAACAAAAGATATGTTCTATATTCTCTCTAACAGCTCCATCCGGGGCCAGAATAAATGCAATACATTATTTCTCCTCCACCTGTGCACCCAAAATATGATCCTTTCTCCAACTTCAAAGATTCTTCATACCCATATACATTTATTAACCATAAATCACATATATATTTATCAATTCAATAAACATTTACTGAAGTGTACTCTGTGCAAAGCACTCAGCTTAACACTAGGGATAGAGATATTTTTTTAAAAATGTAGTCTTGGCTTTCTAACCCATGTACAGGTTTGGAACTATGAAAGGAGAAAATAACTTTGATCATCCTAGTGGAAGAGGTTTTCCAGAACAGTTCCTGACCATAAATTCTGCCCAGTGAAAGTATTAAATAATTATTAAGGAAGCAACACTATGTACAACTTTTGAAGCATAGAATGCTGAATTTTTTCTTTTTTTTTTGCAAAACTGCAGTTTTTACTACCACTCCAACAGTGCTTTACCGAGCATGAGGACAAGTCTCCCAAGAGAAGAGGATAAAAGAGGGCGAAAAATAGAGGGTGGAAGAATGGGAAATAGAAGGAAAATGGGGACGAGAAGGAGGAGGGGAAGGAGAAAACATAGAGGAAGGAGAGACGGGAAAACCCTAGATAGAGTGACTCTGAATTCACTCCTAAGAAAGGAGAGACAGCCTTGGTTGTCTACAAGGCTGTAGGTTGAGACTGCCCCCATATTTCTCTGTAAATTCCAGGGTTTGAAGGAAGCCGCTTGAGGATGTTCGAGCCTCCTGATTTCATTTATCCTTACCGCCTCCAGTTACATCTATTGTTCTTTATGACCTGAATATCACACTCAAGGACTTTTTAAGAATTTGAAAACAATACTGGATACTTTTCATCCAGTGTTTATCCTCCCATTCCAATAACTACAACCCTGCTGCGATGGACTCAACCATATGACTCAACCTTAATCGTCTCCAACCCCAGCCTAAGCCAACCCTAGTCCAGATAACCCCACATTAACTCTTGAGTAAAATATCTACTTGAACCAAACATCTACCTCCAGCTCCCAGCCTCACCTCTTCTGATAACTACCCAAGGCCTAATTTCAAACCATAACACAACACCAGCCAAGCCATCCAATCCTAATTCACAGCAGCAATTCAAAACACAGCCTAACTACAAACTTCGCTCTACCCCAACTCCCCATTCCACCCAATCCCACCCCCAGCTCCATTAAATAAAAAATACTATTCCCTCTCCAGACTACTTCAAAATATTAGTATAGCCCAGTTCTATAAACAGAATTGCTCATCCGCACTCGTCTTTCCAGTATCACTTTATCTCTAAGGAACACCTTCCCCACAATTCACTCTCTAAACTTGAAATCAACCCTTGGTTCCTCCTACAGCTCCCGAACTTGGACCCAATCTTTCACACCTAGCCCATCAACCAAACTCCCATTTCAATGACAGCACTACCTAAAATGTTTCACGCTGATACTCTGCTATTCCACCACCAAGAGCAACAACCTCTTAAGTCTTTCTTGGCAGAGCAGAACCGTTGGAGATCTGGACATGAGATGAACCTTAGGGATAACATCCACAACCTGAGACCATGAAAGACTTCAGGTGTTGCCTACTATATGTGAGTAGGAGTCACCTCAGAGGTTGCCAAGATGCCAATACAATATGCAAACCCCAGAACCTTTGAGAGAGGCCTGAGTTACCTGCAGCCTTATGAACCAGGATCAGAAGGATGGAAATGATCATTAAATAGGACTTCATGACTGACAGGTCCCAAAAGAATGGAGGACTGTGTTTCAGAGGATGGAATAGAGGCAGCAGGGCAGTGTCCTGTCTTTATTGGTTTTGGAAATAGGCCAAGATAGTGCGCAGTGAACTAAAAGGGATGGGACATGCCTGAGGTCAGCCAGGCAGAAGGATAACATGTATTACATATCTCCATTGGGCATTCTATGTAAGTATGGCAGAATCAGCAGCAGTCATGCCAAGGTGGCAAATTAGAGCCTGTTGGCATTTTGTGTGATACAAATTTGAATGAATGACTCAATCATTTAATCAATCAATGAGAAAACTAACTCATAATTATAAGAAATAAAGAATTGTTTTTAATGTATTTGTCTTTACTCTCCTGACAGTATAATGTCTCCCTCAATCAGTAGCATTTACTCTATATCCAACACTGTACTAGGCATCATGGATTAACAAAAAGATCGGAAGAAAAATTGAAAGGGAAGAAGAAATGGAGGATGAGAGGAAAAGACAGAAAGCAAAAATAAAGGCAATTCATATTTACCATGAATCTGCCATGTGTCATTCTCTGTACTAAATATTATAGTACAGATAAGAATACTCACTACAACCCTTAAAGTCAGGTGTAGTATTACCACTCTACAGATGAAGATAAGTTTTAAAAAAAATTAAAATAACATGCCTAGGTCACACATATAACGAGGCACAGAGACTAGATTAGAACCCGTATCTGTCCGACAGCATGTGCTTTGGGTGGATTTTCATTCTTCCTGTGGGTGGAGGGGCAGAGAATGAGAGATGAGACAAAGACATAATGAAATTGATAAAAATCAGAGACTAATCACTTTGTAAGAAAATAAATTCAGTCTAGGGAATTCAGTGCTTATCCTGTGAGCAATAGCAGAAGTAGGAGCTTTTAGAGGGGGTCATATTGGTTTTTTACTCCAGTGAGACGTGTGGAAGCTGGATGGGCATGGTCCAGTCTTTTGGCTGAAGATCAGGAAATGAGTGAAAAAGCTTCTTCAAAAGTCTAGAAGAGGATTCCCACATCTAGAAAATCTGGGCTTCCTCAGATAAGCCTTCTACTGATTGGGTTTTTTGTATGTTTTATTTGTCCCACCTCCCCCCCCCCATATGTATGAGCCATACTTTCTTGTTTCTTTTCATGCTTTCTCATTTTTTAATTGAAAACTGGACTTTCTGAGCATTAAAATGTGGTGACTCTTTAAATCAGACTCCTCTCCCTCACCAGGTTTGTTGTTGTCACTGTTCTTGTAATTTTGTTGAAGTTATATTTCTGAACTAATTCTGTAAAGTCTGTATCTTTGTCATGTATGGTCACTATCTTAGTTATCTAGTACTGCTATAACAGAAATACCACAAGTGGGTGGCTTTAACAAACAAAAATTTATTTTCTCATAGTTTAGGAGGCTAGAAGTTCAAATTTAGGGCACCAGCTCTAGGGGAAGTCTTTCTCTGTCAGATCTGGAGGAAGGTGCTTGTCTTTTCAGCTTCTGCTTCCTGGTTCCTTGGAGATCTCTCTGTGTCTTCCCCCATCTCTGCTCACTCAGTTGCTTGTTTAATCTCTTTCATATCTCAAAAGAGATTGACTCAATACACACCCTACACTGATCCTGTCTCATTAACATAATAAAGACAACCAATCTCCACATGAGATTATAACCACAGGCATGTTGTTGTTGTTGTTAGGTGCCCTTGAGTCAGTTCCGACTCATAGCAACCCCATGTACAACAGAACAAAACACTGCCTGGTCCTGCGCAACTGTTGTTACGCTTGACCAATTGTTGCAGCCACCGTGTTGATCCATCTCTTTGACCGTCTTCCTCTTTTTTGCTGACCCTCTGCTTTACCAAGCATGATGTCCTTCTCCAGGGACTGGCCCCTTCTGATAACATGTCCAGAGTATGTGAGGCTAAGTCTTGCCATCCTTGTTTCTAAGGCGCATTCTGCCTGTACTTCTTCCAAGTCAGATTTTTTGTTCTTCTGGTAATCCATGGTATATTCAATATTCTTCACCAACACCATAATTCAAAGGCATCAACTCTTCTTCCATCTCCCTTATTCATTGTCCAGCTTTCACATGCATATGAGGCAATTGAAAACACCATGGCTTGGGTCAGGTGTACCTTAGTCCTTACAGTAACGTCTTTGCTTTTGAACAATTTAGTCTTTTGCAGCAGATTTGCCCAATGCAATATGTCTTTTGAGTTCTTGACTGCTGCTTCCAGGGGTGTTGATTGTGGATCTAAGTAAAATGAAATCCTTGACAATTTCATTATTTTCTCCATTGGTCATGATGTTGCTTATGGGTCTGGTTGTGAGGATTTTTGTTTTCTTTATGTGGAGGTGTAATCCATACTGAAGGCTGTAGTCTTTGATCTTCATCAGTAAGTGCTTCAAGTCCTCTTTGCTTTCAGCAAGCAAGGTTGTGTCATCTGCATAATGCAGGTTGTTAATGAGTCTTCCTCTAATCCTGATGCTGCATTCTTCTTCATATAACCCAGCTTCTCAGATTAGTTGCTCAGCATACAGATTGAATAAGTATGGTGAAAGGATATAACCCTGACACACACCTTTCTTGACTTTAAACCACGCAGTATCCCCTTGTTCTGTTCGAATGACTGCCTCTTGGTCTATGTACAGGTTCCTCATGAGCACAATTAAGTGTTCTGGAATTCCCATTCTTGGCAATATTATTCATAATTTGTTATGATCCACATGATCAAACGCCTTTGCATAGTCAATGAAACCCAGGTAAACGTCTTTCTGGTATTCTCTGGTTTCAGCGATGACCCATCTGACATCAACTATGATGTCAGAATTTTTTTCAGAAGCAAACTGCCAGATCCTTCTTCTTAGTCTGTCTTAGTCTAGAAGCTCCACTGAAACCTGTCCACCAAGGATGACCCTGCTGGTATTTCAAATACTGGTGACAAAGCTTCCAGTATCACAGCAACACACACTACGACAAACTGACAGATATGTGGTGGACCATAGGTATAATGTTTAGGATTTACAACACGTATTTTTGGGGGACACAATTCAATCCATATATTTCACCTTTTGGTCCTCAAAAATTCATGACTTTGTCACATTCAAAACACATTGACCCCATCACATCATCCCAAAAGCCTTAAATCAACTCCTAATCCAAAATCTCATCTTCGGAATCATCTAAATCAAATACGGGTGAGACTTTAGGTGTATTCCATCCTGGGGCAAAACTTCTCTTCATCTGTGAACCTGTGAAATCTAAACTACAAGTTATCTGCTTCCAAAGTATAATAGTGGAACAGGCCCAAGGTAGATATTTCCAGTACAAATGGGAGGAAATGGAGGGAAATAAGGGATAATGGGCACCCACCAAGTCCAAAACCCAGCAGAGCAATTTATATTATCTCTCAAGGCTTGAAAATAATCCTCTCTTCTCTGAGACCATCTAGGCAATGGCCCTGCCCTCCAGATTCTGGGTGTTGTCCATGCTCTCTGGATTCTGGGTGGAGGCCCCTCAGCCCTGGGCTTCAGTCCCACCTTCCAGGCCTAATGGGATGGCAACCCTGCTCCCTTGGCTTTGGGTGGCCCCATTCTCCTAGTCCACCTGAGTGGCGACTCACCCCCTTGGCCCTGGCAGGCCCTGTTTTTCTGCCCCTTGGGCATGGCAACCTTGCCCCTTCTTCTTTGGGCAGAGGCCCCACCCCCCGGCACAACTTAACAGCAGCCCCACACTCTGAAACCAAGTGGGTGAAGATCAGACTGTTTGAAACTTAAAAGGCTGTGGTCCCTCCCTTTGAGATCCAGGAGACCATGGCCCCACCCTTTGAAACCCCAGAGGCCATGGCTCCACCCTTTGAAATGGAGACAGCTCTGCTTCTCATGCTTCTTCTGACAGTTCTGCTGATCTCCAAGCTGCTCCTGGAATGGTCCTTTTCTTTTCTTGGAGGACAGCAGATGTAGCTCCTTTGGCCTGTTTCCTGCCTGTAGAATTCCAAAAGGCAGACAGTATTCCCTCCTTTCGTTCTTTCTCTGTCACCTTCAACCTAAGCTGATGGATTTTCTGCTGTGGTAGTTGGTTATACCCATCAGTCACAAGCTTAATCTCTTTAACAAATTTGTGTAGCCATGTCCTTGGTGAAAATTCTAGAACACATGTCCTTAGTTTGTACAACAGAATTTTCCAAATTTTAAGTTTTGTTTTCATTTTGCACAATTCATTTTTAAGTCCATCTCTTTCCTCTCGCATTTTACTATAAGTGGCAAGAAGAAACCATGCAATCCCTTTAAAATCTGACTTAGAAATCTCCTCAGCTAAATATCCAAATTCATCACTTACAAGTTCTACCTTCCACCAAACATTTGAACATAATGCAGATAGGTTCTTTGCCACTGTGTAAACATCATTGCCCTTCCTCTCTTGTCCAATTACATGTTCATCATTTTCTGTTAAAGCCTTACCAAAAGCACATTTAACATCCACATTTCTAGCCACATTCTGTTGCTGGCACTGTATGTATTCTCTAAGATGATAGAGACTTTCTCTGTAGCTCTCCTCACTTCTTTCTAAGCCCTCACCAGAATTGCGTTTGATGTCCATAATTCTACCAACAGTCTCTTCAAAGCAATCTAGGCTTTTACTATTAGGCACCTTAAAACTCTTCCAGCCTCTACCTATTACCCAACTCTAAAACTGCTTCCACATTTTAGGTATCTGTTAGAGCAGCACCCCACTCTTCCAGCACCAAATTCTGTTTTAGTTATCTAGTGTGCTATAACAGAAATACCACAAGTGGATGGCTTTAACAAACAGAAATTTATTTTCTCACAGTTTAGGAGGCTAGAAGTTTGAATTC